TCACCTGCCATGAAAATGTGTGGTAGCACGATCTAAAATAACTAATCATAAAGCACCAAACTCATCAAAACACACCGAGTTCTCGTTTTGTTTTGGGTTTTTTTGGCAAACGAACATTATAAAAGTCAGCTGCAGATCTGGCTGGCTGACTTGATTATAGCAAGAAAAAAATGTATTAGTAAGGCCAGGAGATTATATAAATTCAAAATGATTTTGGTACATGGCCATTGCCATGGATGGAAAACTGCTTTTGCAGAATTTGCACTTCTTACTCAGACCAGAGAAGTTGCTTAGGATTACAGATGGTAGCGCTTACCATTGGGCTCGCCTCTTCAGATAGTCAGCCCTAAACACCAGTTAAAGCATTTCATACAGCATGCCACATCATCACATAATACATGTTCATAAAATGGAGGAGGCATCACTGGTCCCAGCATATCAAAATAATACACAGTGTTCCAGATAAAGGCCATTCTGAACACAGAGAGCTCACTGTAAAGAATTTTCCACTCTGTGCCTCCATTTCATTCACAAATCTTTATGTAGATAATAAAGATAGCTGAGACAAACTGTTTGGGAAAACATTAACCTTAACACATAAGAGGAAGGTATTATTAGGGTAATATATGATAAGATTAATTTAATGTCCCACATATATTAAAGTGAAGGATTTTCACACATTTTTTAAAAGACCCGCCCTCTTTGGCTTTAAAAAACAAACAAACAAAAAGACACGTGCAAAACCCTGTACCCGCTTCTGAGAGGAAATGCTTATTTAATGCATGCTCGGGGATTTCTCCTTGTGCACACTCTGTTTAAAAGTTTCTGTTTGCATCGCTCATACAAGCTTATTTTCCTAAAGAAGATTTGCAATTTTTCCACTATGTCAGACTCAATGCCAGTACGTGAAAATGGGGACGAGCAAGTAGGACAGCCTTACGTAAATATATCACCAGAACAATTAGGAGGACCTCTTATTTAGATCATCCACCTGGAAAAAGAACATCCTCCACTATATCTTTAACTATCAACATTTTTCTAAACAAAGACTTCTAATACGTCTGTAGTTGGTTAAGAAAAAATGCAATGAGCATTTTGTAAATTTTCTGCAAAACTTGCAGAAAACATGTAATGACGGATTTATTGGAGTCTCATTGGAAACCAACATGGTTTTGTTTCACTCATATCTTTGCTTTCATGGAGGTAAGCATGATGTACAAAACTGTTTTCTTATTAGCTTATATGAGATTAGTAGAGCACTTTATCTTTTATACAAATAAAACAATTAAAATAATTCTCATCTTAGTAGTCATGGAAGTGAAATTTCCCCAGATATTGATTAAAGGATTTCCATTCTTTTGGGACTCAGTCACATGATTTAATTTTATGACTCTTGCCTAATGCAGGGGTGCTCAAGTCTAGTCTTTAACAGCTACTATCCTACAACCATTTGATGAAATCATTTTTAACATCTTAAATGAGTGGCTCGTTACGAGCTAAAGGAGGAGATTAAGCCTTTAAAAAAGTTAGAGGATGGTAGCTTTTGAGGGCTGGACTTTAGCACCACTGGCCTAATGTAATGTATGAAACTAGCAATTCAAAGAGCCTATTGTTTTCATAAGTCTCAATCGCTTTATAAAAAAAAAAAAAAAAAAAACTACTACACATTGATCCTGCAAAAAGATGGGTTTAGAGCTACTAGAAAACTAGCAACATCATAAGCATTTTAATAGATTGAACAAGTTTTTCAACAACTTTTTAATCCATCAAGTAACCCATCATGACCATAGCAAAAACTAAATATTTTTAAGCTTATAATATTTTAGGTGATCATAGCTCTTTAGATGAGGTGTGTGGCTCTGAAAAGAGCCGTTGGGTTTGCGGTGATGGAGCAGAGGGCTTTACTTGGAGCTGGTGTACTTGGTGACAGCCTTGGTGCCCTCAGACACAGCGTGCTTGGCCAGCTCACCGGGCAGCAGGAGGCGCACAGCGGTCTGGATCTCCCTGGAGGTGATGGTGGAGCGCTTGTTGTAGTGAGCCAGGCGGGAGGCCTCGGAGGCGATGCGCTCAAAGATGTCGTTGACGAACGAGTTCATGATGCTCATGGCCTTGGAGGAGATGCCGGTGTCAGGATGGACCTGCTTCAGCACCTTGTACACGTAGATGGCGTAGCTCTCCTTCCTGCTCCTCTTCCTCTTCTTGCCTCCTTTAGCGGCGCTCTTGGTCACGGCTTTCTTGGAGCCCTTCTTAGGGGCGGACTTGGCGGGTTCAGGCATGTTGATCCACTCGAGTTGAAGCAACGAATGAGCTGCAGGGGAGGACAAGCTGTTCTTATACAGCAGCCATGGAGAAAGAGCTACAGCAGCACTTGGCTGTGATTGGATGAGCCGCTCAGTCTGGGTGGAGCTGGAGAACAAACCACGTGACTTTTTCAAACGTTGCGCTCAGTGGGACAATAGAGGGAAAAGAAAGGCGGGAAACACCCAGGACAGAATAATAACTGTGATGCTTTATGTAGATATTTTCTCACCAAAGTGAATATTCGAGCTGTAAATGAAGAAAATTATAAAATCAGAAAAATAATCAGTGATATAAAGGTTCATAAAATCAAATATTTTCAGGTCAGGTGAAAACAAGTTTCAGCTTTAATGATTTTCCACTCCTTCTGTAGTTCAGGTAGATGCTTGGATTTTAATTGATTTGACTTTCAGGAAGTTTATACATTAAAGACCTAAACTTATAATTTATAGTAGTCAGAATAAAGATTATATTACATAATTTGTCTAAACTGCTAGGAATTAAAGTAAATATGTTGGCAGTTGAAATAAAAGGAAAAGAATCATGTCTTGGTGAATAAATGTATCTTATTTGGAGCCTTTAATAAAGGGGACTTCAATCTGGTTTCAATGGATATGATCAAACTTGATTAAATGGAGTCAAATCCTGTCCTTATTGAATATGTCATCTCCTTTACATTACTTGAAGTTCAACAGTAGATGCTAATCGAGAAAACAAAAAGGTAATCAGATATTTTCATTTCAGATGAAAACATGTATATAAGTGTCTTGCTGAATAAATTAATCGTGTTTGGCGCCTTTAATAAAGGAGACTTCAATCTGGTTTCATTGGATATAATACTTGATTAAATGGAGCCAAATCCTGTCCTCGCTGAAGATAAATGTTTCCCTTACATTGGTGTAACAGTAGATGCCAGTTGAGGAAAAATGATTTAATTTAAAGTGATAAAAAGTTTCAGTTTTAATAGGATTCCACCCATTCCATAGTTTAGATGCTTAGAATCCAGCTTTAGAAGTATGTTATATACACTTAAATAAACGGGGCATGCAACAGTATTTTTTTCTTGATTCATTACACAATGCAACCATGATTAAATGCAAATCTGCCATCCTCTCATCTAAAACACACGAGTGTTAGGAGTTTTCTATTATTAAAATCGTTGTATATGGTTTCCTGAACAAGTAGAGCAAAATTAAAGTGGGAATCGTGTTCTTAACCTGCAGGTTGGCGGCCCTGAAAAGGACCTTTGTTTAGTTTAGAGAAGCGGCTCAGTTTAACCTCCAAAGCCGTACAGGGTGCGGCCCTGCCTCTTCAGAGCGTACACCACATCCATGGCGGTCACAGTCTTCCTCTTAGCGTGCTCGGTGTAGGTGACGGCGTCCCGGATGACGTTCTCCAGGAAGACCTTCAACACACCGCGGGTCTCCTCGTAGATGAGACCGGAGATGCGCTTGACTCCACCGCGGCGAGCCAGACGGCGGATAGCGGGCTTAGTGATTCCCTGGATGTTATCACGGAGAACTTTACGGTGACGCTTAGCGCCTCCTTTACCGAGTCCCTTACCTCCCTTTCCTCTGCCGCTCATTATGACTGTCTCTGTTCTGTAACAAAAGAATAATGGCGACCAACTGCTGCGGTTGGCCTTTGTCTATGAACTGCGGACGTAGAAGGAGCCGTAAACAGCTGTAGGAAGCGGTTTAAAAAATGTCTGTATTTGTTATATTAATCCTTTTATTGTAAATTACGCATTAAAGAGCAGTGTAATCGATGTGTGGCATGTTATATTTCATATATCAATTAAAATAATCTCAGTTTAAAATACATTTGATATCCTTTACACATGGTATGTAATGTGGAAGTGTAATGGGGAAACTTAAAGTTTTGTGGATATGTTGCTTATTAACTTTCCATTAATGATAATTTTTAGGGGTTCTGATATTTGTTTAACAAACCTAAGGGTGTAACTTTGCGACAAAAGATGATGGGGAGGCTCTAATGATGGTGGCTGATGGACCTGCAGTTACTTAACCTGAACGCTTTCAATAGGATTTATATTTCCCAAAAATTAGCTCAAACATGTATTTATTGAATACTTTACTATTGTTGAGAACACAAGAGTGCCAAAATACATTTTTTTTTATATTTACAGTTAAAGACAGATGCCTGCCTTCAGTGCATTATTTACAAAGGGCACAAAAACATGAATGTATAAAAAATGAATAACAGCCAAAACCAATGCCAACATCAATAGATCATTCATCCCTAGTATGGACACAGCTTCAGTTATTATAACGTTGCATATTTTTTCTTCTAAATTTAGAGATATTTTATTGCATGGTGGATATCCCAGTAAATCTGTCTCATTTAACAATATAATGATGCCAGAGAAAATAATTTAAGAGATCTAGAAGCTCTGCAGTCTAAATCTCTGTTCAGATATATGTTAATTTAATTCTGTAACTCTGTAATGGACCAGAAGCCCAGCTTTTTCAACTCAACTGTAATTTGCTGCCATTTTAGCTGAACTAACTTTTTCGGTGGCATCTTTAATTTTTTCAAACAACCAGTCTCCTAACACTTATCGGAGTAGCTGCTGCGAATTTATGTTAATTTGGCTTGCCAACCTGGTCAGACGGAACCGACTGCATGTTAAAACAGCTTGCCCGGCATGTCTCAAATCGACAGTTCCTTTACACTTTATATTTTTTACAGTACTCTCCTTTAAGCCCGCCGATTTACCGTCATATGCTATAAAAGTGCATTTTTGTCTCTCAGATTAAACAGTAATGTATTGATGAAGGCAGCATGGAGAGTTTCAGCTCTTAAAGCGGAGTGTGTGGCTCTTAAAAGAGCCGTTGTGGGGCTGTGTCCAGCAGCAGCAGCGGTGGCTTTACTTGGCCTTAGCGGCCTTCTCGGTCTTCTTGGGCAGCAGCACCGCCTGGATGTTGGGCAGCACGCCGCCCTGAGCGATGGTGACTCCGCCCAGCAGCTTGTTGAGCTCCTCGTCGTTGCGGACAGCCAGCTGCAGGTGACGGGGGATGATGCGGGTCTTCTTGTTGTCGCGGGCAGCGTTTCCAGCCAGCTCCAGGATCTCAGCGGTCAGATACTCCAGCACAGCAGCCAGGTAGACGGGGGCTCCGGCACCGACTCTCTCCCCATAGTTGCCTTTGCGCAGCAGCCTGTGAACACGGCCCACTGGGAACTGGAGCCCGGCTCTGGAGGAGCGGCTCTTGGCCTTAGCTCTGGCTTTTCCTCCGGTCTTTCCGCGGCCGCTCATTGTTACAGATGCTTTCTAGAGAGACGCTACTAGAAAAATGCTCCAGCAGGAACGCCTAGCTTCTTTATATCCCTGCAGAGAGCGGCAGACTGCTGCTGGTGCTGACAACCAATCAGAGAAGCTTCCAGCAGAGGCGGGCTTTTTCAAACCAGCTCCAATCAGCAGCAAGCATTCAGCGGGGAGCTGCATCCTCCTCCTCCTCCTCTGAGCGGCGCTGAGCTCCAGGAGGAATTTTGATGTCAACAATTAGATTTCTGGATATGTAGAATATTCAGTGGCACGGGAAGGGGGGTGCTGCGGGGGCTGCAGCCTCCCTCGTCATAGCATCAGCCCCCCATGGTGGGGGGCTGTGGAGTAACATAATATTGTACTTAAAAACATGAAATTATTTATGTATTTATTTTTTAAAAGACTGTGTTTGATATGGGATTAAAATGATGGGCTGTGTATAAGATATAAACTAATGATTCATTATTTTAATATTTCATAAAAAACTAGGCTACTCCCCCGGAAGCTTCCGCCACCTCACATTCGTTTAGGAATGGCTAGCAATAGGCAGCAGGAACGTATTTCTGACTATTTCGAGGTAAGAAATGGTTTCAATTCCCCTATACTGCATTTATTTAGCGTTATTTATTTCTTATTTATTTCTATATGCTGTGCCTATTCGTCGTAGTCCTGTGGCTGAAGAAGTCTACCCTAGAATAAGGCTGCATATCACTAAATATTATGTCTGTATTAAGCTATTTAGTGATAAAATATGTTTTTTTTTTGTGTGTGTGTGTTTTTTGTTTCAGATATGAAATCATTCCCCATATCCATAGTCGAATGGACTTTCAAGACGTTCAATGCTCAGTTTAGGCTATATTTAGGCCATGTTTAATTCAAGTATTCCTGATTCTGTTGATTGGGAGCTGTTCTTTGTTTATAATGATTAAAAGAGAAGAAATAAAGTTTAAAATGTTTATGCTTTGTTCCGAAGCATTTGAAATGGCAGTTTTTGGCGACAAATTTAGGCCTACAATATTATGTTAAAAACGTCAGCCACAGCCCTCAACATAATGACGTCATGTGTTTTCCAACCCAGCCATCAGCCCCCCTCGCTTGAAACAGCTTCCAGCGCGCCTGAGAATATTATTCATTTTTTACTTCTGAAACTATCACAACGATAATCGTAATATGGAGATCTGAAATTACAGTTCATCGTAGTTCTTGACAGGGAGAATGTTAATTTAGATTTCTTGAAGCAAAAGCCCACAAGACATGATTTGGAAACGTAATGCATTTTGGATCTAAAATGTTAATGTTAGATATTATTTTAGATGTCTGAAATGTTAATTCTGATTAGAAAAAATGCATTGGAGACGTCTGAAATATACCGTAAATTCTCTAATATAGGCCCGGGCCTTTATTTCACTCAAGTGCATCGCGGTCCAGGCCTTTATTGGATAGAGGCCAGAATTAGAGACAGGCCTCTATTGCTATTTGAGCAAAACAGACTACCAGTGGAATGAATAAAAATGAGATTTTGTGTCTATTTGAACCTATAAAACACTAGGTTCATTTATTGAAAAAGTACAGTTACCATGTCTCGCTTGGTTTGAAGTAAAAAAAAAAAAAAAAATCCTCCAATTCTGTTTAATCCTCCTCCTCAGTTTTTCTCTTCCTCTTCATCTCTCCCTTTAATCTCCTCATCACTCGCGCTCCTCCTGTTCTGCTGCGTGTCTGTTCTCTTCCTCGCGCAGACGGGCAGCAGTCAGGGCCTGTCGTCCAGCTGCGCAGGGCTGTGGTACTTGTATGTTACTACCACAAGTATAATGTTGAGGTATGCCCAGAAAAAACGTTTATAGCCCCGGCCTGTATTAGAGACCGGCCATTATTTACCTCCTCTGACAGCGAGACCGGCCATTATTAGAGACCCGGCCGCTATTGGAATACAGGCCAATATTAGAGAATTTACGGTATACTGAATCTGATTTCCAGTCGTCTGAAAGCTTATTCTTACAAGTACTGTTATTTATTTATTTTTTTGCATCCTGAAATTGAGTTCATAGATTTGATTAAGGATATCTTTTTTTTTTACAGTTCTGACTACTATGAATGCAGCTCTGACCAAAAACAATCTTATCCTAGTGATCTGCAAATGGAACAGAGAGGACAGCACTTCAAATAAATATCGAAATAGCCTGCCATACAGCTGGTAAAGATTATTAGTCATCCAGGTCATAGTCATTCCAAAATAAATTTTGAACTGAAAAAGCTCCCTAGATTCTAAGCGAAACGTCTTCAAAATTGGAAACAATGTCTGGTGGAATGTTTTTTTCTTCTTACGTTTTTGATAAGCCTGTCATACTGATTCTGGACTATAGCCATTTATGCTTTTTTGGGGGGTGCTAAAGCCCCTCTAAATTAAATCAAAGTACCCCTAAAATCTAATATGTTTTTTATACTGTATGCATTAAAATAAACAAGTAAACAAGCATGATGGGGCTAAACTAAAATCTTGAGCAACACTTTGAGGGAATCACTGCAATAAAGAGTTTTCTGAAATTAAGCAGATTTCTGCACCTGTTGACATGTATGTTGGTGAAATGTTACTGAACATGGTAATCTACTGTCACTCTATTCAGCCAGCTGAATAGAGTGAAAGTGAATTACTGCATTACCTCTACTCATGGGTGTGAAGTTTTTTAACAGGGCGTTCAGATCTGGTGAGTTTATGAAATTAATAACTGGGGATGTCTAATCCTGAAACCCTGTGTGTTTGGGTTGTTATAGATACTGCCATCCATCCATCCATCCATCCATCCATCCATCCATCCATCCATCCATCCATCCATCCATCCATCCATCCATCCATCCATCCATCCATCCATCCATCCATCCATCCAGGATGGGTCAGCTCCTCTGGGGGAACCCTGAGGCGCTCCCACACCAGCTGAGAAACATAGTCTGTCCAGCGTGTCCTGGGTCTCTTCCTGGGTCTCCTCCTGTTGGGAGGTGATTCATAAGCTGACCATATTTAACAAAACATTATAATTAGTTGATGTGTATTTTATTTATTTACATCCAATCCTAAAGCTTATTATCTAAATACAGCAGCTGTTTAATGTGAGAAAATCCAGTAGAGAGAATGATCTTTATTTACTAAAATAAAAACCTACAGTTATTTAATACTGATGTTTTCATTCTGGTTGTTGTGTTTGATAAAGGGTTCCTGAACACTAGCCTGGGTGCCATTCCGAACTTAGTCCCGCCCACAAAGTTTGAGTTCGGGGAAGTTCGGTCTGGCTCTGCTCCATAGTAGCGCGAGTATTATCGCCCACTGTCAGGCGATCCAATCAAATTGTCAGGGCGGGCTTTATACGATGATGGACAGATGACCAACAGTATCAATCAACCACGTGACCAATGCGCGCTTGGGTGACAACAACAATGGCTGCCGCTGGAGAGTTGAGGTGAGTAGATTCTGCTATTAGGTCTGTTCTAGAAGATATCGACAGCAAATTAATTTTAAAAGAGGAACAGAGAAACGCGATCAAGTCTCATCTTCTTATTATAGGCGTGAAACTGCACGCTTTGATTTTTGTGGACAACAACTATGCGTCGCTTAACATACGTCACGCACTCCGTTGCTCTTATTGGTTGTAGGTCTATCCAATTGAGTGCAGAGGCATTTTTTTCCTGGTTCGTTCGAAACACGCCCCATAATCACAGCTCTATGGAGCAGTATCAGACTCATATTCTGACTAGAATTGAGTCGGACTACGTCAGGCTACCTGAACACCAGGATAACCAGCTAAAAACAATGTTTTCAACTACTAACCTTTTAATTACTTGGAACTTTATTTAAATAACCTTTAATGAAACAATCATAACAACACCAGCTTCAGTAGAGAGAATTATCTTTAATGACTAAAATATCAATGAACTGTAACCCTAACATCATTTATCGTTTCTAGTGATTTTATACTGATGTTTTCATTCTGGTTGCTTTGTTTATTTTGAGGTTTAAATTTGCTCCCTGAAAACCAGGATGACTGAGTTTGAGTAGAGAAACTGTAATAAAGTTGATCAGTTCATAGTCTGAGCTTTACTTGGTTGATTGTGTCATTTCCTTTATACAGACTAATGCTGTAGTTGAGCCGTCACTCTCCTTCTCCCTCTGTTCTCACATCAGAGCCAATATCTACGAAGCCCAAACTGGTTTATAACATCAGTGAGCCTGACTTAAATGGATCCTGCACAGTTTATCTGGAATGCAGAGCAGCTCCTCACAGAAACACCAACTACATCCTGACTGTAGGAAACCAAACACATGAAGGCCCCAAGCTGCATTACCACATCACACCACAAGATGGAGACACAACAGTCACCTGCAATGCCTCTAATGCTGTCAGTGAGATGTCAGCATCAGAAACATTGAGGTGTAGAAACACTGACAGCCTCTCTAACAAAGGTATGTTCAGAAACATGAATCCTTGTGGTTCAATGAACACATTATGTTTGACCTGCTGGTGAATCAAGAGCCTGTTGGTAAATAAATATACATCAGTTTGATCAAGTATAGAATATGAAGTTTGGGACGGAATTAAAAATAATGAAGTCAACAACCAATGAGGATCTGAGATTAAGGGATATAATGACAATGATTTAGATCTTAAATGTTGGATATAATGGAGGCTGCAGTAAAAGTTGGACTGAATGTAAACATGTGACTCCAGATGAAGGTCTGGCCCACTGTCGCCTAATGCTTTTAACTCTCCCTCTACATTGTTGCAGGTCATGATGTGGTTTAGACTATTTTTCGGAGTTCTGGTTATTCTTTTCTTCTTTTCAGATGTATGTTTTGAGTACGTTTGACGTTTTTATTTCTAAATATGATCTTATACTGAAATAGATTTTTGTTGCTAATAAACATCTTTATTCACTCCAGGCTCAAACATCCTGCAGCAGTCGACCAGGATGAGAGTCAGCAGCATCCCCACTCCTCACCTGCTGCTGGTCAGGTTTCTATCTTGCTCATTTTTAGTCTTTGTGATCAAGAACATGAAGGAAAGCTATAAACACTCATGAATGAGATGAGTAACAGTTTGACTTCTTCAATATGACAGGTGATGCTTCAGAGTATGAACCCATGAGAGGCTCTACAGATGCTGAACAAGGTGCAGTTTGAGCTGCTGAAAGATTTAAAACACTCTAAGCTGTGATTAAAGATGCTGTATGTTTATTTTAGGGGAAATTCAGAGGAATACGTCCTTCCTCAACAAGCTGCTATCAAGGATCAGGACAAGGTTGATGAGAACTAATAGACAGGAAGGTCGTCTGACCCACTGCATTAACTCATTCTAACTGTCATTAAAAGCTTTTGTTACTCATAATATGATTGCAATAGTATTTCTGTATGTGACGACAACATCTGACACACACATGAAAACCAGAGGGCAGCAGATCATGTGAAAATATAATATTTGTGTCATTCTCAATACTTCTGGCCATGACTGTACACCATTGCACTCAGTTATAGCTCACACTATACAACGAAACCGCTCACAATGCAATTTCTATGTATGTATGCAACACGACGCTCTGCTCACACTGTACGTCTAAAAACCATGTCGGACTCAGCTCCATAGTGAGATGGCGCTACTCTATAAATGAAGCCAAACCAGAAGAAGAGGAATATGAAGCTCACTAGAGTGAAATGCACTGCCTTTGTAATTTGTGCAGGCCTGTGATGAAAGCCCTAAAAAGAAAAGGCGGGGACGTATTTAGACAAAGACATGGCTGAGCAAACATGGCTACTACCGTCTGTCAATTTTACAGAAAAACTCCAGTTTCACTCGCACCCCCTTTGTCTTTTTTTACATATGGGATTATAGTCATCAGAAATATTTACAGTAAATTTAGGGTATCACCACCATCAACCTTGTACTGGGGGACACTTTAATTCCTGTAGCTCTTAGATTCTTTCAGGTTTTTTTATCCCTTTTTGTCTTTGTGTAGAAGAGCTTATACGTTTATTTTGTAGGATTCTAAGTCATAATGTTTTGACTGTCAAGTAGAATGTGGTAACTTACAATACTAACTGAAATTAAACTTTAAGATGCGCTTAGATAATGATTCAATGTTTTCCACTTGTCCTTCAAAATTCGTCTAATAAGTGTTATTTTAAGCAAAAAGTAAAAAGGTTGAAATCGAGTTAGAATGAAGTCTAAATATTTTAGCAAACAAGACAGAAGAAACAAAACACTAGAATTGTATCGGGTTTAATTAATATCAAATAGATCTGTCTGAGTTTAAAGTTCCTGGGGTTGAGTCAGGGACAGTGATTTTATTCCCAGTCTGCCTGCAGACACGAAAGATGCATTTCTGAAAACAGTTGAACGCAAGATGCCAGCCAATATTTGGTTTTAGAGTTTTGTCCGGTTTCTCTCCTTAAGAGGAACAAAAGAAATGGGCTGAAGAGACGGCCAATATTAGGTTAAGCTGTGTCGTGTTTCCCTACTGTTAAAGGGAGGGCGAAAGAAGCGGTGCTGTCTGGTGGCAGCCGACATTGGTTTGAGAGCTTTCTCCAGTTGCTTTTTTTAAGAGAGCTGAAACAAGCGGGGCTGTGAGGGGAAAAGAATTGAAACGGACTCTAGAAGAGGAGATACCTATTGCTGTCGCACTACATGTTTGTCTAATTTTTGTTGTTGTTTGTCTACTGGCCAGTGTATATGTATATACGTTTTTGAGAGAGCTAAGAGTGACAGAAAGGATTACTCTAAGGGGGACATATTTGACTGACGGACACTAAGCTGACGGAAGGTAGCTAACTGTAGCTTTTAAAACCACGGTCCAAAATGCCAAGGGAACTCACTGACTCCAGTGTAACGGTCTGATATAAGATCAGCGTGTGCAGGAGAAAAAAGGATGGATACACTTTTAACGGTGACATTTTAACGGTGAACTAACAGGGGTTAGCAGGGGGACTCATGGACTGATGGAGTAAGAACTCCGGGGACGCTTTAAAGACCTGCTTGGATTGATTCAGTTGTGGTGAACTGAGACTGAAAAATTGGGATGTACAAGGGGCCATGGAAACCATAGGTGGTGTGAAAACTTATTTTGATGTCTAACAGGAGCAAATAAATCTTAGGTTTCTAAAAATGTGCACATGTAGTTTAACAAGGATCCTAAAATTAGGCTGAAAAGCACTGGTGCAGAGGTCTTAAGACTGGATTGGTGAAGAAATTATGATTATTTGTTGAAATTGGGAAAATTCCACTATGAAGATCGATCAAAATTGATACTGATGGATTAAACAAACTTTATGTGGCCAATGTTTGTCTGTTTGTCCTGTTTGTGTAGAGAAGTACCCCCACCAAATATTTTGATAATGTGAATATTTGGAGTGCAGCTGAGAGACTGCAGATTAAAAAATACAGAGAGAAGGAGGATGGGTGCTTTTACTTTTTGGGAAACTAAAATCCCAGAGGGGGACATTACATGATTTTTGATTTAAAGGTACTTTCCTTTTCTTTTTTTTTTTTTCTTTTTTTCCATTATGATTGCATTCGAATCTGATTAAGAACAGGATAAATCACACTTCGAGCTGGAACTGGACAAAGTGATACCAGTTCTTAGCATATGGCCAAGATAAACCTCAGGAGCTCAGCAGATTAACTGGGTCATACTTTTATAAACAAGACTGGAGAGTTAAAAACAATTCCGATGTGACCTGACCCTGGGTTTTTCAGCCTCCTGTTTTTTATCCATTTTCCTTTTTATCAGTGTATATAATGCCGTTTGTAAACTGCCTAGGCACAAACTGACTAATTTGCATGTCTAATCATTACTAACACTTATCTTTTCACTGTTCATCTGGTCCTTACTTTCTTTGCATGACTTTTTAAATTCTATTAACTTTACTAATTTTTGTTATTGAAATGATGAACTATTGACTAATTGATTAACTGTTTGATTGCCTTTCTTGGTAGCAAACCTGAGGGGTCATTTACTTTTGCCCTGCTGGTAGATAGTGACAGTAAGGTTGTCAGTGAGCAGGCATGATAATTTAGAGGCCCAGGAGGTTGTTTTGCTTAACTATGTTTTTTGGAGGGGATATTTTTTCCCGGCTGTGTTTGTAAAAATCCTTAAAATGTTAACATTTATCTTCCAGGACAGGCTGGCAAAGTCTCATCCTTCATTGTGTTTTGTTTAAGATGTGCATTAACTGCCATAATTTTGACAAATTATGCCAGTAAGAGATAAAAGATTGAGCAACTGATAATTTGATAAACGCAACACGCAAAGAAAGTCTGCATGTTAAACAGTGATTATATCTCTGCTCTATAGATAATTAACCAAAAAAAAAAAAAAATTCAACAGAATCTTCAGTACCAATGAGCATAAGCCACTTGGCCTCTCTTATTAAGACCTGTATGTATTTCACAAAGAACAAACCTGCAGCATATTTTTCCAGTTGAAAGAGCTTGATAAGGTATTTGTGTGAAGCATGCTGTACTTTAATATTTAGTGAGTTTCTTGTTCATGTGACCCTAAATATGCATTTATGTACTACATCTTTATAGCCAATTAATAACCAAACATACACATGTAGCCCTCTCACTCAGTTCCCGGATGTTTGCAACAACCGATATGAATACACTGCTTATATCTAATCTCTTTTGTGCATGGGAGAAGAATGAGTGATTGCTAAAAAATAAAATATAACTGTGAATATGTACCAGAGTATGATTGTAGAGGCCCAGTTATCTTAGACAGCTGAACTGAATGTGTCAGCTTTCCCTCCCATGCTTCAAATGTTTCACAGTGAAATGTCAACATTACTGCTGAACAACTCTCTTATACATCAATAAACTCTCGGAGGATCCCAAATTTATTTCAAAAAAACAAATTAAAGAAATAAATTACATTCAAAACAAAACAAATTAATAAAACCCAGAATTTTATAGCTCAGTATAATGGTGCACTGTTCGGTGGCGCACTGCTGGAGCTCATATGTCTTAGAAGAATTGGTTGTACTCACAGTCCCTTGGGAAAATGGAAAAACATGGAGTTGGAGTCCATTTAGACCCCAATTACCACAGCCAGGAGAAGAAGAAGAAAAAAAAAACTTTGCCTGTGGAAAAGAGGGAAGGAACAACAATCACAGGCGGCGGCAAGTCCTGAACACCTCTATTGCTGTAGCAGAAGTGGCAATGTCCAAAGCACACTAAGTCAAAATAACAAAAAATAAATAAATAAAACACTTTTCGACATCCACAATAGCTATACTCACTCAGAAACTTGTAAATAAAACCCTGCTGTCCTACATGGAGCCTGACGCAAGTCTCCCCCTGCTCCTGTGAAATTGCATGTTAGTCAACTAACTTCTTTCCTCATGATGAAAGTAATAGCTAACTTAGCAACACAAACAACCAATAACCAGGGCGGCCAACCGTTTAAATACCTCTACTGCGTATTTAAAAATAGAGTGGGAGCAAAACTGAGTATGTTTGTGCTTTATTCATGTATTTATTACAAATTATTAATCAAACCTGGGAGCTGGCCGTGAGACAGACACATCGCTGATGACAGAGCACTGTGATCACTCCTCTGAAAGTTTATTGACGCATAAATTAACTTAAAATGCAGAAATCTGCCAGCAGAATATGTTCGCTTTTATTATCCTGGTGCCTGCAGTTTAGATTATTTAGATGAAAAACACCTACCAGCTGCCGTGGTGAACCGCGAGGAGGCGACCAAGCCAGAGGCTGCTGTTGAATGGGATTCCTACTGACATCGCACCGCTGGTATGTTTGGGTCTGAGGGGCTCCGACAGAAATGATATTTGAAGGCAGGATGATAATCTGGATGAACTGACTGCAATTATTAAGTTTTCAGGTGGATTTTCTCACTTAAAAACATTATGCTGCTCTTGCTGCGTCCGGTGTGAACGCAGCATTACTTTGACCGGCCGGTTCACACCGATGTCGAGTTCCTTTGTCAGACCTCCCATAATAACAGCAAGCACAGCGTTCATTTGTTTCACCATGTTTTTCACATTGGCTGTGAGATGGGCACGCATGGAGTCACAGATTAACAGCGATGGTGATGAGTGGAAAAAACCACCTGGTCTCCTTACATACACCTCCCTCAGCCACTCCTCATCTCCTCAATGAGGAGTTCTGCATAAAGCACATACCTGTTCTTTTATACACAATCCACGCCCACACTTCCCCCTTTAACGTTCTCATGGTGGTCTCAACAACGTCCGCAGTAACAACACACATAGGGAGCGCCGCACATTTTGAGGGAAAAAAGACGTTTATATGCGTCTTATAGTCCCGTAAATACGGTAACTCTTTCTAGGCTGCCATTCCCCTATGTGACA